ATAGGGCATCAGCCTGCGGACTGAAGGGTCCCAGGTTTGATTCCGGTCGGGGGCATGTACCTTGGTTGCGGGCACATCCCCAGTGGGGAGTGTGCAGGAGGCAGCTGATTGATGTTTCTCTCTCGTTGATGTTTCTAACTTTCTATCCCTCACCCTTCCTCTCTGTAAAAAATCAATAAAATATATTTTTTAAAAAATAGAAAAACATCAAAAACTTTAAAAAAAAATCAACCAATGAATGCATAAATGAGTGGAACGAACCAATGCTGTCTCTCTCTTGCACTCTCTCTAAAATCAGCAAATAAAAATTAAAAACTAAATTAAAAAAAAATAAGAGCCCCCGTTAAATAAGTGAGCATACACCTTGGCTCACTTCAAGGACACCGGGATGCATACGTCAGTTAGAACGAGGCTGGCTTGAGGTGGAAAGGCGTAAACACAGAACAACAGTCTCCTCTAAGGGGCTACTCCACTCCTGCCAGGCACCCGCCTCCCTTCCTCAGGACAGCGGGTGTATTTCACCGGTAAGTTTCACTGAGAAGCTGCGCATTGCACTGACACACAAAAGAACAGGATGCCGTGCTGTGGCTCCTAACTGCAGGATATTAAGCTCTGGAGCCGCGAAAGAAAAACACACACAAAAAAAACCACGATTGTTTAAAGCCCCTTGTTTGATTCTGGTAGTGACATTCTAAGGGCATTCCTAGAACAGGCGGATGGATGGCCCCGGTGGACTTCAAGATCCCTTTCAACGCTGAAGTTCCATCATCCCCATCACCCACCGAGACTTAATGATACTGCGTGACATTTCACAATCCAAAGCCTCAAGTTCCACCCACATTTCAGGATCTGGGAACTGGTCGGGTGATCCTAAACGCTCACTTACCTACCAGGACCGATCGCGACTCGAAGAAACGACACACCCCGGCCACTGCCCCACACAATGTCACAACCGCGGGGCCTCCCAGGCCCCTCGGTCGCCCTCCAGGATCCAAAGTCCTGGCCACCTCTCACCCGCCCCACACAGACGTAAGGGGATACTCAAGTTCACCTCAATCTCGTAGTCCTTCACCGGAGGGGGAGCAGCTGCCGCCGCCGCCATGGCCAGGACCCCCACCATGCTCCCCGCTTCCCGGAATCCCGGCTCCTAGGACCTGGTACGGCCCGGCCTGGCATGCCTGGAGGCCATGGGGGCGGCCGGCTCCCGCAGCCCGGCGGGGAAAGCAAGCCGAACACAGAGGAGACCCGCGGGCTTCGGACGGACTTCTTGTCAATTGGGTTTTCGCGCCCTCCGGGGCGCAGGGGGCGGAGCCTAGGATTGTTTCTGGAGGCTGCGCGGACGGTGAGACGCGAGGGCCAAAATACGTCTTTGGCGAACCTGCAGGAGGCGGGACTTTCCTACCGTAAAATCAGCGGGGATTTTGAAGATTCGAACTCCTCACGCCCGGTTTCGCTGATGCGGACCTGATTTCACTAACGTCCGTGAGTGACAGAATTAAAGCCCTAGACTTTTGACGACCCACGTTGTCCCCTATTTAAATGTGGAACTTTGCAAAAATACAGAAAACGAAGTAACAATTGATTACAATTCCTCTCCCGCGAAATAAAATGTTATTTTGGCGATCGTCCTACCTCGCGATACGCCCATTCGGGGTCCCACATTGGATTTTTTTTTTTTTTTTTTTACCTTTAGGTATTTCTTGCTGTGGATTTCGTCCTCGCGAGCAGCTAGGAGTCCAGGGTCATCGACTCGGCTGTTCTTGCGTTTTCCTGTCATCGCAGGGAACTAGCAGTTTACTGGTTTGTAGTGATGCTAACCTCATACTTCATTTGCATTGTCTTCCTGGATTTTTTTTTTTACTTTTTTTACGTTAAATTGCGGTTACATAAAGAATATGTTTATTTTGTCTGAGTGCATAGTTTTAACTGCACAGTTTGTAAGAGCTAAAATAAGACAGAGAAAAGGACTTCTCAAATAATAACAAGAAGCCACCTCGTTAGGTCGGGTTATGCAAATTCATATTAACTATTGACGTAATTGTGTTCATTTTGATAGTATTTGCTATTGTCTTGACAACTTAAAGGGTACAAATTTCTCCGATGAAATTAGTGGTAATTGCTTTTTCTTTGAAAATTATTAGCCCTGGGTAAGGTTTTTCAAGAAGGGAGACTGCTGTTTTGCTTTAAGAACAAACAAACAAACAAAACCTTATGTAGTTGGGGGTGAGGGCGGTCCGGGAGAGGTCAATGGGGGGAAAAAAAGAGACTTATGTAATACTTTAAACAATACAGAATTTAAATTTTTTTAGAAACAAATACCTTATGTAGTGTAAGAACACTGTCCAAGAATGAAGAGGAGGAGGAGCAGATAGGGTTAGGGGTGTAAGGAGGAGAAAAAAATGAAAAAAGTTACAGAGGAAAAGGCAAGTCTCCTTGACTTTCACCCCCAAAAGGTCTTTTCCTCTTTGCATAAAAAAACTTTGGTTTGCTTTTATTTACATAAAAGGCAACACTGTAAATGTTTCTCAGCAATTTGCTTTTTTTCATTCATCATTCTTTTCAAGTTATCCATGATATGTGTAGATCTGATTCATTCTTTTTCATTTCTGAGCATTTCATCCAATTATGCACAACATTTTATTTATTCATTTCCTTACTGGTGAGCATTTAGGATGTCTCCAATATTCTGTTATTTAATGAGTCAATGAACTTTCTTATCCATGTCTCCTTGTAATGTTTCTCTAGGTTACACACTTAGAAGTGGAATTGCTGGGTTATATAGGATATGTCTCTAGCGTTTTTTATTCTGCTAAATCACTACGCATTTTATTTTATTTTATTAGTAAATCCTCACCGGAGGATATTTTTTCCATTGATTTTTTTTATTGTTTTTATTTTATTTTATTTTTTTGAGAGAGAGAGAGTTGAAAGGAGAGAGCAAGGGAGAAGAGACATGGATGTGAGAGAGACACTATTAATTGCCTCCCACAGGCGCCTCCACCAGGCGGGGGATGTAACGTGCAACCCAGGTAGTGCCCTTGACTGGGATTCGCAGTGCTTCAGTGCTAAGGCTGACGCTCTAACCACTGGATACACTGGCCAGGGCGGAGCTTCTCAATGTTAATAGGTGGAGGTCTTTTCTCTGAGGCCATTCAGTTTCTCCGCCAATCTCTTCGGGGCAGGGGGGTTTATATCTCATGCAGTTGTGTGGAAGCAATGGGGAGGGATCACCTAAATACATGGAATAAGGCAATGGATGTGGAATAGCTAATTCTAATTTTAACTGATGTCCCCTTTTTTTTCAGTCCCATACCTCACTGTTACCTGCTGTGCTATCCATCCATCCATCCATCCATCCATCCATCCATAAATACTATTGAGTGCCTGATATTTGTCAGCTATGAACAAAGCAGCTATAAACAAAACAGACAAAAATTCCTATCCTCTTAGAATTTACAATAATGGTCGACCTCACCCCTAATCCACCTGATCAACTTCAGTCCAAAAATATTACATGAAAAGTTCCAGAAATAAATAATTCATGCACTTTAAAATGCATGCAGTTCTGAGCAATGTGAAGAAGTCTTTTGCCTGGGATGTGAATAATCCCTTTGTCCAGTGTATTCACGCTGTATAGGATACCTACCCATTAGTCATTAGACATCTCAGTCATCAGATTGACTGTTGCAGTGTTCAAGTAATCCTTATTTTACTTAATAATGGCCCCAAAGTGCCAAGAGTAGTGATACTGACAATTTGGATATGGCAAAGAGAAGTGCTTCCTTTAAGTGAAAAGGTGAATACATATAGAAAAAAACCCCCATACTATATACAGGGTGGGGTAAAAGTCGGTTTGCAGTTGTTCATATGAAATATAATAATTAATAAACAATAATACAGTAATAAACTGTTTCACATACCCACAACTGTAAGCCTACTTTTGCCTCACCCTGAATAGGGTGCAGTACTACCCGTGGTTTCAGGCGTCCACTGGGAGTCTTGGGATGTACTCCCTTTGGAAAAGGGGACACTATTGTACTCAAGAATATCTGTTACATGAATTAAGGTATTATTAACTAAACAAAAGCAGTGAGGAAAGGCATCCCAGGTAGGACAAAACTAAGTGGGGAAGGGTATAGGTCTTGGAGATAGGAATATAAATGGACTGTTTACGAAAGAAAGGAGCATGGGGATGTAAAATAAAGCATAGGGAATGTAGTCAAGAATATTGTAATAATTATGTATGATGTCAGTTGAGTACTAGATTTATCCAGGTGAGTTTTAAACATGTCTAGTTACTATGTTGTACACTTAATTTGCATATTAGGCTTTTATTATATAGGATGTCAACTGTAACTGAAAAATAAACATTTTTAAAATTAAGTTATTTTTAAGAATTAAAAAAATAAAAAGAAGGGAGATGAAGTTAAGAGAAAAGTAAGGGCCATGGAGTTCAGGTTAAAAGTTTTGGCTTTAATGAATAGACAGCAAAGATTTTTGCAAGTGCAGTGACATTTGCAAAACATGTTTTAGGAAGATAAATGATAGAGAGGTGGGTCTTGGGTCTGTCTTAAGATAAAGCAGGGGTTGGCATACAGTACATTCTTGAGTATTTATTTAGGGAAATGAATATACATAGGATAGTTGAAGTGGGTATATAGGAAAAATCATATGGCATTAGTCCAGGTGTAATATGAGAGAGGCTTGAATTAAGATGTTGGCCTTTACAGAGGTCTGAAACTGGAAGTGGGGGAGAAGATAGGAAAATAATTCAAGGGAACAGAAGGGTTAAGGCACAGATTGAGTCAGTAAAAACCAGGATTTATTAAATATTCTTGAACATAGCAATGTTATGTGAGCTCTCTAAAGCTAATTGAATAGAATTGATTCTACCCTGGAGGGCTTTATTACATGAAAATTTTTTTTCTTTTATTTTTTTATTACTACATGCAAATTTTTTTAAAAATTAAGAGAAAAACTTCCATAAAGCCAAGACACTAATCTTAGTCTCATTAAACTTTATTTCCTCGATCTACTAACTGATGAGAGGCTAAAAAAAAAATGAATCTAATATATCCACACTATACAAAAAAGAAAAAATACAAAGGAAACTGAAGGAAATCTTGTGAAATCACTCTCCCAGGCTTGAAATTTTGGAAACATGCTTTTTAGAGCACACGTTCCTAAAGAGTAAATAGTCTGGTTGATAACACAGAGGAAGATTGAACACAGGAAGACTGATCTGGAGGTGGCAATGACAGAAGCCAGCAGGCCATCAGACAGGGTTTTACAGCGTTGGGGTTTTTACTTTTGTTTTTTAATCGCTGTGGCATCAAATTGGTCTGGAATTGACTTTTTACGTGTACTCAGAAGTGAGCAGATTCGGGGGCACAGACGTTTCATGCTAAAAAGACAAGAAACAAACAAAGCAAGTTGCTAATTTATTTATTTATGGTCAGATATAATTGGCGAGAAAACTGCAGCAACTGGGGTATCAAGTTGTAACCAGAGAGTTATTTGGTAAACAATGGATTTAGTCTAGGATACTTTGGCTATCTGGTCAGCTGAGGCTTTCTCTCTCCTCTCTCCAACTTCTTCTCAAAAAGCTCCTAACTGTATTGGACATATAGTGATGACTTTTTACTCTCTGACTTCCCTGTTTACACACCTAATATTATTACCACATTCTTTTTTTCTTTTTTTTTTATAATGTCCTTTCAAAGATATTACAAATATATATATATATATATAGAAGGAGGTAGAAGAGAGAGATAGAAACATCAATGATGAGAGAGAATCATTGATTGGCTGCCTCCTGCACAGCCTTTTCTGGGGATCAAGCCTGCAATCCTGGCATGTCCCTTGACCCAGAATTGAACCAGTGAACTCTTGGTTCATGGATCGATGCTCAACCACTGAGCCATACTGGCTGGGCTATTACCACATTCTTGAGAATCAACTGGTTACAACTAAATAAGTCTTAGGACCTAGTTGGGTTTTTTAAAAAAATATTTTTATTGATTTCAGAGAGGAAGGAGGTAGAAGAGAGAGATAGAAACATCAATGATGAGAGAGAATCATTGATTGGCTGCCTCCTGAATGCCCCATGCCCCATACCGGGCGGGGATTGAACCCAGAAACCTGGAACCTCAAACCGTGACCTCCTGGTTCATAGGTCGATGCTCAA